GCTCAAGCGGCCCTACCAGTGCGCCGACGGCGGAGGAGGAGGAGGAGGGGGTCCCGGCAGCGCCAAGGCCCTCGGGGGGCTCCGGGGGGCGGCCCGCGAGTGGAACCTGGCCTACGCCTTGGAGGACGAGGAGGAGGACGAGGAGGACCTGGAGGGCCGAGCCAGCCAGCCCCCCGACGAGGGACAAAGCCTCCTTGCGGGAGCCGTCGGGGAAGAAGAAGAAGAAGAAGACTCGGCCCTTTCCTCCCTCTCGGACTTGGAGAGCGGGGAGCCTCTGCCCCCGGTTTGGGGTCCCAGCCCCGCCACCATGGGGACCCCCAGGGCTCCCTGGGAGTGGACCCCCCCGTCGGGGCCCTCCGCCCCCAGCAATGGGCTGCCCTTGGAAGAGAAGGCTCCCCCGAGGAAGAAGGAGAAGAAGAAGAAGCAGTGGCCCCGCCGAGCCCGCCTTTGGGGACCCCCTCCTTTGGGGAAGGGCTCTGGGAACGGGGGACGCCCCTCGACGGGGGGCAAGGCGCCCCCCGGGGCCTTCTCCTCGGAGGAGAGCGAGATCAACATCACGAGCGACGAGGAACGCAAGGAGATGAATGGCCGTGCCACGAAGGGCTCCGGGACGCCGCTGTCTCGAGGGACGCAGCCGCAGCCACCCTCGACGGCCGGCCCGACTTGCTACGTCTGTGGTTTGCTCTTGAACCCGGGTTCGCAGCACCGGATCCATGTGCAGAAGCAAGAGCAGGCCTCGCAGGCGCCCTTCTTTCCTTTTCTGTGGCTCCACAATCCGCCCCCGGGGTCTCTTCCCATCAGTCCTTCTGGGAGCACCGTCGTCTGCGATTCCTGCTATGCGTCCCTCCTCCAGCAATGGCAGAGCTTTGAGTTGGCTGGCGTACCCGTCCTCCAGAGGCTTTACGTGGTGCCCCTTAACCCGGGCACCAAGGCCAAGAGGGAGAGCCCCCCGAGAGAGGACTTGGTCCCCCCGGTCCCTTCCCGGAGGGCCTTCCCAGAGGCCTGCTACCTCTGTGGGGAGGAGTGCGCCAAGGAGGGTCGGTCCGTCTCGGCCAAAATCACGAATGGCAACGCCAAGGCTGCCATGCACTTCCCTTTCATCAGCCTCCTCCCTTGCCCACCCAACGCCAAGGGCCTCAACAAGCACTGGGAAGTCCGGAGCTGTCCTAGGTGTTACGGGGTGCTCCGGGACCTGTGGGCCATGTACTTGGCGTCCCACAACGAGGAGTTCATCACCTCCGTCCAGAGCTTCCTGGGCAGGTATCACCAGGTCTTTTCAGCCCGGGAGGAAGCCGGCAACGTTGTCATGGCCAGGCATTCCGGTTTGGCTAAACCAGGCCCAGCGTCCATTTGCTACATCTGTGGGGCCGAACTGGGTACGGCAGCGGGCAAGGAGTTCCAGTTGAGTGTCAACCCGCCCGGCCGCTTTGGCGAGAAGGAGCCCTTCTTCCCCTTCCTCACCGTGTACCCACCAGCTCCTCGGGCCCGGCCTGCCGACTCCACGGGCATCGTGGCCACATGCCTCCTGTGCTACCATGACCTTTTGGGCCAGTGGCTGCAGTATGAGGGCAACCATGCCCATCACCCCAGCAGTCCCTGGTCCAGGCAATACAAAGTGGAGACCTTTGTCTGCTTCTTCTGTAGGCAAGAGAAGAAGCGGTGCCTTGGATTAAAAGCTGTCGAAGTTGCCCGCCTTCCCATCTTCCTTTGCTCTTTACGGGTGCCCGGCAGCTTGCTGGTGGATGATGGGAAGCGGTTGACCATTGGCGCCTGCCCTGAGTGTGCCATCCTGGTGCTGGCTGGCAAAACGGCCATGCCCCGAGAGCTTTTTGCTGCCCCAG